GAAACTGGGGACCACTGTGCTATTCAGAGATTTAAATGCCTTTTGGATGCTCTGGGTTTAGAGCTTGTCAGCAGTGTGTAATAGACACTCAAAAAGCACAGATGCCTTGCAAGGCAAACCTCAAATATTTGAGGTCTCCAAGGAAAATAAATACTTTTTTTTTTTTAGTACTATATTTTGATCTGATTTTAAGTACAAACATCATGCCTCTAATTAAGAGCAGCAAGTGGCCAGGATGATAGCAGCTTACAATTTTTCTACACCTGGATGTTCAGAGAACTTTAGGAAGTTTGGATTTACAGGGATAAAAATAGCAGAAATTTTGTGCTTTTCAAAAAGCCAGCTCGGCTTCTCAAGCTGTTTTATTGCGTAACCAGGTAGCTGTGCCAGCTGAACTGTAAAGAAGAGCCTGGACAGAAACAAATGCCAAAGCAGGAGGGAAGGGCATGCACTGATTCTACTGCTCAGGGCTTTGCTTCAGTAAAACCACACTTTCATAGGACACCAGCTGCAGTGGGAAAGATCCGTACTGTCCTTGCCATCTTTGTCCTTTCCCAAAGGGGATCTGGCAGTGAACAGTTTCAAAGACTCCAAAGCATTTGGCTGATTTCCCAAATGTTTGGCTTTGGGCTACCCAGCAGTTTACACTTTAAAGTGTGTTGAAACATTAGCCCATGGTATGGGCTTGGTAAGACAGGGCAAGTGTCACCTGCCTCAGTCAGAGACTGGTCATAGAATCAGAGAATGGCTCAGTTTGAAAGGAACCTTGTCCAACCCCCCTGCCACGTGCAGGGACACATTCCATTAGACCACATTGCTCAAAGCCCCAGTCATTATCATCTCCATCACACAGATTGGAGAATCAAGCTTTTTTGCCTACAAAATAGCAAGGGCTGTCTCATCCCAACAATGCCAAAGGGTATGCTGGTTTTGCATCACAGAAGTGATTTTCCAAGAGAAGCTGCTAGCAGCTTCCTCCGTGTGTGACAAAAAAAACAATCAGCAATTAGCTTTGAGAATTGACAATCTGTTAAACCACTGAGAAAACTGATACACCTCTGTGAGCTCCCATGCTAAAACAAAAAAATCCGGGGAATTCTGCCTTTTCTTTTCCAGCCTGTGAGCAAGTAACTCATCTGGCTCAGCCCCCTGTCTCATCTGGGCCAGGTCGGCCTGGGCGGGCTCTGCTGTGGGGCCGGGCCCCATTGGCGGGCAGGCAGGGGAGGGGAGGCTGCGGGGCCAGAGCTGGGCTGTGCCACAGCTGCTAACATGGCTGCTGACATGGCCGCTAACGTGGCTGCTAACATGGCTGCTGACACAGCTGCTAACATGGCCACTAACATGGCCGCCAACGTGGCTGCTGACATCGGGCTGCTGACACGGCTGCTGACATTGGGCCGCTACAAAGCCCTGCCCGCCGCTGAGCCGGGGTCCGCCAGGCCCCAGGAGCAGAGCAAGATTCTGCTGCCATTGGGGTTTGCCCACCGCCACCAGGCAGGGGGAGGAGAAGCCATGGCCCCCTCGCCAGCGCGCTGGCTGCTGAGCTCTGGCCTGGCTGCTGAGATCCCGGGCACCACCCCAGCCCAGCCGCAGTCCACACAATTCCCACTACGAGCTATCGAGCCCAGCCAGGGTCACCGACCATCTGCAGGCCCTGGGCAGATATCAACTCTTTCAGTGCTTCAGTCCTCCCTCGAGTGAGAGAAAAGGACAAAGTGCAGACATGTAGAGAAGCGACATAAAGACACCAAGGTCAGTGATGAAGAAGTCAAGTCCCAGATGGGAGGGATGAGGAGATGCCTTAATCTTAGGACTGAATTCCTCTTATAAAGCTATAGAGAAAAATGTAATTGATCCAACAAACTTTTTTTTCTTTATAACACATTGAAGAATTATGGGGGAGGGATGAATTGTTGAAACCTGTGTTAAAGCAGGCAAATGTTGAAATAGCTGTGAATTTAATAAAAAGCTTGAACAGAGAGAGAGAAGAGTGATGAAGACCCTATGCCCCCAGGGAGAGAAGAAAAAGACCTCTGTTCTCCGAGATGAAGATGATCTGGGAAATAAATAAAGAGAACCTTTGCTTTTGAATAGCTCATCCTTAAAATAGTATCCCATAATTTGACATGGCCCATAAACACAGCTGTGGGGAAATCTGTGAAAAATGGGAGGGACTCCACAATTCCAGGTTTAATTTTTCTGAGTGGCTGCTATTCATGAAAATTAGAAGCCACAAGATACCTGTTTTCTTGTCGAAAAGTCTGCATTAATTTGCTAGAGGGACTCCTCTCTCTAAGTAAACTGAAGAAAAGCTATTCTAGAAGTGATAAACTGACTTATTTCTGTGTGTTGTGAGTGAAAAAGAAAAGGTTGTAGGGGGAAGAGAAGTGTTCTAAAAGTTTTATTCTGATTTTTATTATTCTTTCTTTTTTTTTTAGTTACTGTTAATAAAGTTTTCTTTATATCCTTTTAAGTTTTGAGCCTACTTTGCCTTCCTCTTAATCCTATCTCACAGCAGGAAATGAGTAAGTATATTCTAGTGAGTGCACTGGAGTTTGGCCAGCACTGAAACCCACCACAAAGGGTTTGCACCTGCAAACCCTGTGAAATCCTTATTTTCCAGTGGTGTCTCAGCAGTCACTTCCTATTCACTTTCTGTCAATGTCAGTTGATTTTCATCCTTTGTCACCCAAAGTGAGGGTCACCCTATCAGACCTCTCCAAATCCTTTCCCCACCATGGCCCAGAGCAAGAAGAAAAAGCAAATCCTAGCTGCTGGCTCTCACCAGTCAGTCTGTGAACTACTGCAGGCTCCCAAGGGTTTCAGAGGAACAAGAAAATGTCTTGACGATTTTGTGTCTTTGAGTCTCCAGATCTTTTGGAGTCTGTCCATTCATAATGCTGCTGCTTTCTAAGGCACTGCTTTTCTTTGAGCCCTGTGTCAAGCTCTATGAATCAAACTCTCTAGAGAAGTCAATAAAACAAGTTCCTGCCTTAGAAAGTAGGTCTGAACTGTAAACGCAGGAGTGGGACAAGTCTTGCTCCTTTTTGGCTGGAATAGCTCCCTGGTCATTCATCCCACAGGGGAGATGGAGACAACACTAATATTAACCCTATTAAAAAGAATATCCAATGCTATTCTGAGCCACAGACTTTGAGAAGGAGGCACAGCTCCAGCTCCTGACACTCTACAACTCCAGAATCTCCAGAAGCTGATTCTCCTGGTTTATTTTGTTCCTTCAATCTACACTGTGCTTGGCATCTCACAGGCAGATGCAGCCCCTAGTCTTCCTGGTGTCAAGTCCACAGATCAAAACAGAGACTCCTCCATCTCTTGTAAAGCCAAGAAGGCTTTTCTCCTGTCTTTTGAAGCTGCTGCCTTCCTTCCTTCTATTTCTGCCCTCTCGTCATGTACATCTTTATCAGACGTTCAGCCAACAGCATTTCCCCACCAAAAATTAACATTTCCAATTATTGAGGTTTTAGTCAGAGCCCCTGTTTTATTCACCCTTTTTCCTCCTACTCTCTTCAGGAAAGAAAATGTAAATGAAGAAGAACTGAATGAAACTCACAAGCCTGGAGAATTTGTGAGTGATGGGTAGAGGGACAGAGGGAGATGGGAAAATGAAAACTCTTATATCAGCAAAAAATGACATGCACTGGCATTTGCAGATTAAACTATCTAAGCATGAAATACTCTCCCTGGAGAACAAAATTCAGATTCAGGAACCAAACCAGAATATTTTCTTACCAGTTTATAAAATACGCCTTTAATTCAGCTGTATTATTTTTTATAGACAGTGAGGTCAGTATTCGGGAAAAGGTGTACTGATTTTATAAAATCCAGTAGGAAACAAAATGAGGTGAGGAAAATTATTTCTGATAGATTTGATTTACATAATACTGATATCCATGCTTGAATCCACCCATCACTGTGTTAGTAAAAGGCCAAGCACTGATACAGTCACTAAGATGTAACCATCTGCTTAAAAAAGAGATGACAGGTTGTAAATTTTTGTTCTTGAAAACTAGAGTATTTCAGCATTTTAGAGTAATATGTTTATTTTAAAGTATAAATTAATACATCTTAGTAAAAACCCCAAATTATCACTGTTGTGCAAAGCCAAATTATTGCTTCTGTTTAAGGGAAGCATATTTGTCTTTTATCAAAAATACTTTTATCCAAATTACAACTGGGCTTAGCCTTAGAAAATTTATTGTGATTTTTATGTAAACTATGATTTTCTAAAACTTTACTACTTCCAAATATCATTCATTCTCATGATAACAGTCCAGATCCAGCAAAGCTGTGTCAGTAAATCATCGTTCACCCAAAGGTGACATTCTAGATGTCAGGATCTTAAGAGCAGCAAAATAACCCTGCCATCTCACACCTCGTGCTCCAACTGGCAGAGCTCAATGACAGCTCTGACAGGAAGAAGAGCAGACCAGCCAAACAGCATTTTGCCTATTTTACCCAGGGACTGTGTGATTTGCCCAAGGCTATATTAGGATTCAGTGTTGGAGAGCTGGTTGAGTGGCATTTAATTAGTGTACAATGCTGATCTCTGCAGCACTCCTAGTTCAGAAGGCTATAATGCAGCAGTGCCATAAATAGACTGAAGTCCTGCGAAGAAAGAAAAAAAAATCATCTCCCCATTTTCTATTCCTGCAAACTTGAAGAATAACAACAAATACTGTGTATGACAACTGTACTGTTATAAACTAACTGGTGCCTCCTTAATATAAATTATCTAACTCACATAGTGCAAGTCCCTGATGGATTAAATATAAAACTGGGTGGATAGAGCCATCTACACAGTGTGCTTAGCCAGTTCCTCAGCCTATTCATAAACACAGAACATTTTATTTATACAGTACCTTCCTCATCTGTGTTAGTTTCAAAGGCTGCAGCTCAAAGTCACCAGAGCCCTCAGCTCTCCCACAGCTGAAAGTGCAACTTTCCAGCAGGCTCCCAGGTTCACACACATCTCCACATACCTGCTCTCTGGCTGGAGGAGGAGAAGGTTTCGTCTCTGTTCGCAGCTTTTTTTTCCCCCGACTCTCCCAGCAGCCTTTCCAGCTCAAGCCAAGGAAGAGTTTCCTTGGGGAAGTCGTACCTCTGTTGCATGCCAGCTGACTAAAACTCTGCAAGCGCTGAGAGAAGTTTGAAGTCACAGGGAAAAAAAAAATACTCCCCATAGACTAGTCCTTGAATTCATTCCTTTGCAGTCATAATCTCTTCTATATTTCCAGGCTCCCCAGACAACGTAAATGCATACATCCGTAATGCTTTTAAGATATGTGTGTCCTCTGCGCTTCTCTTTATTCTCCATTTTGTTCATTCAGCCTTGATTTATTTCCTGCAGTTTCTCAGCTGGTAATTACGCTCCTCTCGTATTGACACATGAAACAGTCTGTGAATACCACAAAAAATCCCCTCCACAGGCTTTGGGACACGTGCTTGTCTCTGAAGTCATCCATGCCAGTCCCACAGCTGTCAGCCTGGAGATTCTCAGGGGTTGGGGGAAATCAGGGGCACTGAGCTAGCTGCAAACCTTACATTTTAAGTCCATGCAGGATGGGGTGTGTAGGAAAAGGGTACATGGGAGTAGGGTGAGCACATCATGTCTGATATCCCAACAGGTCATTTGTATCTTCATGGCACAGCAGTGGGATGGCCAAACACAGCCTTGGGGGAAAGGATAAATTCAATTTAATGCTTGAATGGGTAATAACATGAATACCTTCTAATACCTTCTAAGAACGGCTGTGGGATGAATTTTTCTTTCTTTACTTTGGGCGTTGTTATAGACATGTAATGTAATAGTTGGCTCTCATAATTAAGAGGTAAATACTATGAGTATGTTAAAATGTATAGTGATGTTATTGTAATATGTCCCCCACAGTCCTCTTTCCCCTCCCCCTTGTAACAACCCTCGGTAGTCAGGGCATTTGGAGAGGGCTGGGTTATTACCAAGAGGAGCAGAGTAACAACACCCGACCTCCAATCAAGATGTAAGAAGGTAATCTCCACCAATGGATGGCAGAGAAGGAGTTGACTGACAAAGCTTTGGGAGGGGCAAGGGGTATAAAAGGCACAGCATCCATTTTGTAGAGGAGCACATGGCTGATAGTCGCGTGGGCTCCAATTTTTCTTTATTCAGTCCTTTGTTGTATTTTTTTGTTAAGGTTTAATAAACCTTTTAAAATTTTCAAGTGAAGGTGTTTCTCACAGCGTGAAGCTCCCTTTTATTTCAGATGCAGTGCTGTTGTGTAGGTTGGTGGGGGACATGCACATTGTCTAGGTTGTCTTTGTCTGCATATGCATGCCTGGAGATCTGGGCAGGTGTTCACTGGCTCTGCGTGTTTGTTTGCAGCACTGTAAACCTCTGACAGGGTTTTGCCAGCTCTTCAGTGCATTAGGACCAAAGTGAGCCTTGGCTTCACCAGCCAGGCTAAGACCTCCCCTGGGCCACCCAGGTGGGGAGCTCCCACAGGCACCAGGGATCCAAGAAAACATCCCAGGGACCACCGCAAACCTCCCACCTTCTCCCCTGCGTTTACAGAAAAGATCTCATCTGAGTGATCTCCCTCAGAGAAGAGGTTTTCCTTCTGCATTGTATGTTTTATCAACCTTTCTTTTTTTACATCTGCAACAATGGCCATGAATTTTTACCCCAAAAAATTGAAGTGCTGGCTCCCTTCTCCCAGACAGCATCAATTCTGTCCCGCTCTCCTGGATCTGCTTATCAAAATCATCTGAAAGCTATGACCTTTTATACCATGTGCCAAACAGGTTTGTGAATTCTGCTACATGTTTGCAGGCTCCAGCTTTTGCTTCTCTGCAACGGGTTTGCTCTCTGTAGCACACCAGCTCCTCTGAGTCAGAGTTACTTCAGAACTGCAACATACTGGGAGATTCAAGATGAAAACATCTATGGATGTGAAAAATGTGGTTTGTTAAATATCTCAATAAGTATACTTTGCTGATGTTGTTGCAGTAAGGTTGTAATAAGACTAACCAATTTAATAGTAAAGAAATGCATGAACAGAAAGCAAAATTTCCGGCTGCTGAGATGCTCCAAGACATCACTGCCTCTGTAAGTATCATTATCTTGAACTGATGTTAGCCCAGTTACTTTCTAGAAATTGCATTAAAAAGGAAGAAAAAAAAAGACAAAAAAGACAAGAAGAAAAGTACTGGCAGTTTTCAATCACTTGCAAAATATTAGAGGTTGACCATGTGCTCATCTTACACCTAAAATAGGTTCTATCATGTCAACAGGATGCCTAACTCTAAGTATAAATTATATTTCCCAAGACCAAACAAAGTTTAATATTTATGCTCCATTTCCTTCTTCTCCGATTATAGCTTGTTCGTTAAAAAAAAACAAACACAAGGAACAAGAGGTTTGCTCTGGCCCCATTTTCTGTTCCTTTGGTGTTGAGGGAAGTTTGATGCTGGGAATATGGTGATGTTTCACATGCTGGGATTTTGCCTTGTCTTGGTGCTGATGGCAGTGGTGAGCAGAAAAGGGAAGTTTTCTGGGTCAGGTGTGATTCTTGTCCCATATTAGTCTTATCATATGGTGCCTGCAGCTCTCAGGTACTGTGTCTTCAACTGAACTCAAAGAAGAGGCTGCTCTTGGCCTCTCCCTGGACTAGGCTTGGCTCAGTCCCCTGTCATCCCAGCCAAAATCTTTCTCAGGTCCACCTCACCTTGGGCCATGAACATTGGCGTTGCGAGATGCAGACAGCTTTGGGAGCAGCTGCAAAAGAAGCATACCTTAAGTAGCTCCAAATCAGCTACCAGTGACCCACATAGCTGTGAAATTCATCCCAAAAGCAGGATAAAAGACACATGTCCAGTTCTCCTGGGACACTTCACCCTCACCCAGCCAGATATGACCAGCTATGAAGCAGTCAGCTGTACCCATATTACGAATCAGTGATTGGAAGGATGAGCACAGTTCTGGGCACAGTCCTGGCTCACGTTGTCACTCTTAGGTGACAGGGTCCCCAGGCACTGCTTGATGCCCTGGTAGGCAATGACAAAAAAATTGAGCAATAATGCAAAGTTCACAGTGCTCAAGACATTTGTGGAGTGCTTTGGAATGTTGTTCATCACTTGGAGAGGCAGATATTGTGGAAGCTCCTGGTGTAAGATGGTGTTACTGCAGGATAAAGATGACATGGCTTTGGTGATAAGGGTCTTCTGCAGACTGAGAGACCAGAGAAGATAATACAAGTAAGTTGTGATGGAAACATCTCCCCAGATGTGAAGGTTGCTGGGACACGCAGCAGTGAGGCAGTAAGGGAGAAGGGAGAGGAAAAAGACATGGGCAAAACTTCCAGACAAGTAAGCCCATATCACAGGAGTTTCAAAGTCTCAGAATTTTTGGAGGGTTGAAATGGAGCAAATGGAATTTGCATGAGGGGACAAAACTCCAGGGTCTCCAGGGACCTCTGGTTTTATTTTTGATTCTCTGTGGACCTCCAGCATACACACTGCCCTGCAAGACTCTGACATGCGGCTTGCAAGCAGAGTTGCCAAGTGAATGTCTCAAGATGGCAATAAGGACAGAGAGCTCCTGCCTCGCTTGTACTTGCCTGCCAACTAGGATGGTTGGAAGCATCTTGTATCCAACCCAGATTTCAGCTGTTTCTGTCCACTACTGTGTGTGCACTACTTTTTTTGCCCCCTGCTATCTCCAGGGACATCTTCTTTCCTGTGTTTGAACATCCCAAAGCTTAATCTGCAGGTTTGGGAAACTGTGCTCCATGGGACAAACCTGGTTTATCTTGAAATGCACTTGACTGAGAGTGATGTGGTTTCTATTGCAAATATTTCTCATAACTCTACTCTACCACTGCAATAGCAGGGGGATCTGTGAATCTTGGTGGTGCCAAACAAGCAGCAGAACAGTTTCCTCTGTTGTCTCTGCTAATGGGGTTGAAGATCATGTTTTACTCTAAACCTCCAGCTCCATTTAAACTGTGAAATGTCATCCATTCTTCCTTCTCTTGGTTTCCTTTTGGGTGGGGGAATGAATGTTATTCATATCTGGCATTTTAAGTCCCTGCTATTGATTCATACCTTATGAAAATTAGTTTAAACTACCAAACACCATTGAAATAATCAATTTTCCCCTTTTTTGCCCCTCCTTTCCACCTTTTTATTTTTGCTATGTGATGTCTTACTGCAGGGACACTGATAAAAGGATTACTGTCATAAGACCTTGAAGCTGCTGATGACACAGATAATTTTCAGATCATGCAGAAAAGGATTTCACCACTGTTGGTTGAGAGTGTGATTTTGCTCCTTTTATGTCTTTTTTTTTAGGCAAGCACTGGAAAGAAATTTGCAGTCATAATCCTAGGGAGAGAAGAAATTGGTTAGAAATGCTCTATTTTTGTCATGTTCCTTAAACCCTTTGATCCTTCCCATAACAATCCCTTGTTCCATGACTATGTAATTTTTTTAATAGCTTACAGGTGTGTTATTTCCAAAATGCCTCTGCTTCCTGCACAGTATGTTAGTTTTTCTTGAATAACATAACTTCCACCCACAATGACATATTTTGGATTTTTTTTTTTTCCCATGAAGGAAAATGATTGAAATCCTGACTTAAACCCTGAGCGCAGTCCTTGCTGTGCAGACAGTCTGTCATGCCAGCCCCTGTGTGTACTGCTTCGGGCAGAACATACTGCAGGAGGAGAAAAGTATCTGCACCATCTACTGATGTCTTGGAGTGGTTACTGTCTTGGTTTACAAGATGGGTGTGTGTTAGGGAAGGCAGAAAAGCCTCCCTTGGAATGGAGAATATAAATCTCCTCCCTCCGAATTACAATAATTTTAGAATTAAGGGGCTCTCAAGTAAAAATATGAGAACAGGAATAACAGTTTTTTATTAGTATGTGTAATAAAGCAAGCAAACAACCACAACTGTGGCATTAGTAACAAACAGAACCCAAACCCGGTCGCGGCCGCGGCGCGTTTTCCTGCGGTGCAGTTCCGCTCACGGCCCCCAGGGGCGCTGCTGCTCCCGGTGGGCGGGGCAGGGGCGGGTATCCCCCCGCGCCTGCAGGGGGCGCTGTGGCGCGGGCAGCGCGGGGCAATGGCGGCCGGGCCCAAGGGAAGGGCTGGAGGAGAGGCCTTGATCCACAAACCCTGGGGCAGCCGGTCCCAGTGCCCCCAACAGCTCTTGGGAGCAGCAGGCAAAGAAAGAGTGGGGCAATGGCCCGGCTCCGAGCAGGGCAGGGAGAGGTGAAGTTCAGGATTCCCAGGCAGCACGAGCAGGCAGAGGTTGGTGTCTCAGGGCTGAGCTCCAGCAGTGCTGGTGAATTGTCCCTGCAGTAAGCAACAGCCTGGTTGTCCTTCTCTGATGCTGGAAAGCAAGAGAACACTGCCCCTGTGAGAAACGACCTCTCACTTCTCAAAGTTTTAAAAAGTTTACT